TGCAGCGAGCCGAGACGCGCCCAACTTTCAAGCGAGCTCGTCGACCTGAAGTAGGCGGCACTGCGCCTCGCGGCGTAGATCTTTCCGCGATAAAAGAAAACAACACACGCCAAATTAAACGCACATGGGCGCCGCGAAATCCGTCGGTGCAAGCTGCGTCGGCGTCCGCATTCCTCAACCCGGGCGCTTCGCAGCCGCGTTCCACCCGCATTCTCGCCAGCTCCTCGACATGACACATCGCATCGCGGTCGATGCGCCGGCCCAGCCACGTCTGCAGGCAGACGCCGTCGCCTCCTCGGCCGACCTGACTTTCGGCCCCTGAACCACAGAGAACCAATCGGGTTACGCGACGTGGTCTAGCGACAGAGACCCCACGGAGACCGGAGCCCCCACGGGCCCCAGCTCGGCGCCTTTCCAGACCGCCGCCGACAAAGCGCCTCCGCTCTCGTCGCGCCGCAACCGGCGCAGAGCCTCACAATTTCCCGACTCGGCTCCTGCGCGCGGCGCGGCCCCGCGGGCTGCGGTCGGGCGGCCGCGGCCTGAAATGGGCCCGCGGGCGAATGCCGCCACATGAGCACCAGGCACGAACTCCCCGCACCTCTCCGGACGGCAACTCCGCCCAGGCCAACCACGACTCGAGCTCGCCAGTTTCCGCGATAACGCAGCGCCCCTCGGCGATGTCGCGGGGAATCCGCGACGCGCAGACCAGAGGCAGCCCCGCTATCTCCGAACGCGCCCACGAGGAATCGGCCGCGCCGCACATGACTTGCAAGCGAGAAACACACCTCGCGACGGCAACATGGCGCGCCACTCCTCGCAAAAAAAAAAACTCGCACGTCTTTCGCTGGCACCGTAGACGATCCGGCGCCACTCAGGCCCGCGAGGACCGACACGAGCGCCAGCCCGCCGCGCCATTCCTGCGCGTCGGCGGCAGGAGCAGTCGCGCCGCGGCGCGGCGATGCCTGATCGCCGGACGGCTGCCCGAACCTATCGACACATGCCCCGACCGCGCCCTGACCGCGCGACGCGGCCCCCGCCGGCGACCGGCCAGGTGGCGCAGCGACGCCTCGGTCGTTGCAACACGGCGCGCGCGGCCAGACAGGTTGCTGCCACCCTGGCGACCATCGGCGCCTGGGCGAGACACCAAGCACTTGCGCACGCTGATCGCTGACCGCGAACAAGACGCGCGCGGTGCCTAGACGCGCGCGGCAACCCGCTGAATTAGAGCAACCGAGCGGGCAGGGCCCCTGAAAGCGAGCCCCGCGCGCCGGCGCCCGCGCGCGCAGCCGCGGGCGAACCGCGTGCGCTCGCGACCCCGATCGCGCCTCACTCTTGCTTGGGGCGCTTGACGGGCGCCCTCAGGGCGCTCGCTGGGCCGCCCTTGCTGCACCCGCCACCCCGCGCGCCTTCTCGACCGCCGCCGCGCCAGCTACCGCGGTTCCCCCAGCCGCCGCTTAACCGGCCGGCGCCCCTGGCGCTGCGTCGCCGTCTTCGCGGGCGCGCCGCACTCAGCCGCGCCACGCGCGACCAGGGCAACGCGCGCCAAACTCTCGCCCCGCATCTGGGCAACGCGGTCGGCCTGCAACTCGGAACGGACAATTGGGCGAGCGCAAACACACGCGCGTCGCGCGAACGTCTGAGCTCGGATCGCCCGCTCTGAACCGCTCTGCCCACGAGCGGCGAGCGACCGCGTCGAAGTGCAGCGCCGAACGCGGCCGCTCACTGCGCAAACTCGCGCGCGCGCCCACCTTCGCCGCGCAGCCGCTGGACCGCGCCGCCACGCGGGGCGGGCGAAGGGCACCTGCAGCACGCGCTGACGACACCATGGCGACACGAAGCTCGGCTGGTCGTCAAAGACCGCAGCCGACGCGACATGCGCATCGAAGACCGCGCGCCACTTTTTGAAAAGGCAGAAATCCCCCCTCGGCTTCTGCGCCCGAGAGATCCGCCTCCGCCCCCAGCGATTCGCCAGAGCTCCAGAGGGGCACGAAGGCGGTCATTGCGCGTTAACAGGCTGAGCCGCGCGGGCGCATCGCCTCGAGATCTCGCGAAGCACGCGGGCGGGGCACGCCCTCGCGCCGAAGCTTCGCCGCCTGAGCTTCGAGCGAGTCGGCCGCCGCCGCTGCCGATGGCCAACAGGCCAGCGGCAGGTCGCGGAGGGACGCCTGTCGCAACAGCCAGTGACGCGCCCCCGCGGCCAGGCGCCCGCGCCGCCGCGCCCGCCTGGCAAATTGCGTCTTCGATCCGCCCGCACGTTCTGATATCGCTTCGCGAATGGACCGCAGCGCGCCCTCGAGGCAGAAGGCCCCCCGCCGCCGGCGCGAGCCCCCCCGAGCCCGGGCCCCTCTAGTCGCGGGCCGCTCGGGCCAATGCCCATCGCATCCACCGTGCCAGAGCAGATCATCGGGCCCGCAGAGCGCGCGCGTCGGCCAACCCGCCTGACCGGCAGAGTCGCGTCTCTCCAGCGAGCCAGGTTCCACGTCGAGCAGGCCGGCCCAATGAGCTACTTCATTCTGCTTCAGCGCTTCGACCAATCACTTGAGTCGCGCCACGCAAGGACACAACGCGTCGCAGAGGTGGAACATCGAGCCAGACACGGGCAAAAACATGCAAACGAAGAACAATCGCGCCGCAAGCGGGCAGGCGAAGGCCACGCGAGAGAATTGCTCCGCCACGCATGGGCGGATGCGCCACGCCAAGACAACGACACGCCACGCGATAGCATCCGTGCCGCACCAAATTCACGCCACACGCGACGAGCTATTTCGTGCCACACACGAACAAGTGAATGCCACACACTGGCGGCAACGCGCCACGCACGGGCAAACACGCGCCAGATTCGGGCAGACGCGCGACGAATTACGGGCAGAAGCGCGTCACACAAAGGCAACTACGTGACGCACACGGACGAAGCCGTACTACACAGAGGCATTATCAAGCCGAACACGAGCAGCAACGTGCAACGCGCGGACAAATGTGCCACGCACGAGCATAAGTACGCCACGCACGGGCGACGATGCGCCACGAACGGGCAGACAATGCCGCACACGGGCAAGAGTGCGCGCCACGCACGGACAGCAGCACGCCACACGGGAGCAAGAACGCGCTGCGCAAGGGCAGGCGTGCGCCACGCACGGGCATAGGCGCGCCACACATGAGCAGTGCAATGCCACGCACGGGAATTCCCCCGCCACACACGGGCGGGTGCGTGCCACGATTGGACAATGTCGCGCTGCGCGATAGCAGTCGTGCCACACATAAAGCACGCAACACACGACGAGCTAATTCGTGACACACACGGGCAATTCAGCGCCACGCACTGGCGGCGACGCGCCACGCACGGGCAGCCACGCGCTAGATTCGGGCGGACGCGCGCCAAACACAAGCAACACAATCAGAAACGTGCCACACAAGGGCAAATACGCGCCGCACCTGGACAAAGCCGTGATACGCACACGGACAAAGCCGCGCTACACGAAAGCACGATCAGGCCAGACACGGGCAGCAACGAGCCACGGATGGACAAAAAATGCGCCACGCGCGAGCATAAGTACGCCACACACGGGCGACGACGCACCACGCGCGGGCAGACCATGCAACATACGGGAAAATTGCGCCAAACACAAGCAGCGCCGCGCTGGCGACCTCTCGCACCTATAGAAACCGGTTTCTATACGTGCGATCGCATCTCGCTTTCGACCTTCTCAGATGGTCCTTTTTAGCCACGTCGGCCGTCTGCGGGGGCTCTGAGAAAAAAACCAGACGAAGAACATTGGAAGGGTCAAATGTTTGATTTTTTCCGAACGTGGAGCGGTTGTTAGTCTTACCCTTTTCCCCCGACCTTGAGGAGGGGGTCCCGTTTAGTGCCCCCCTGGGGGGTCCGGGGGGGGCCCCCGAGACTCCCTCCCGGCCGCGGGGGGGGGGCCCATCCCGATCCGCGCGCGGGCACGTTGACGTGAGGGTTGGGAACAAGTACAATGTTCAGATACGCCACGGGGCACGACCTGCGCGCGGGCACAAATATCGCGACGGTTGGGAACAATATATATAACGATGCTAAGATGTTAAAATTCGCCGGGTGGCACGATCCGTGACTGGGCGCAGGGATCGTAAAGGCCGGGGGTAAGATTGGACGATGTTAAAACCCGTCGACGCCACGATTTACGAGCAGGCACAAAGATCGCGAGGGTTGGGTGTCCTCCAGGCGCCCGCGACACGGCCGCGGGACCCACGCCGCGGGCGTCCACGTGTCATAGCGGAAACGCGCCATGCAACGTTGCGCAATGCAGCGGCCCACGTCACGGCGCACTGCGGAACGCCGCTTTTTGCGCGCATGATGTGTGAGATTTTTGCGACACGCGCATTGAATCTGTGTGGTTGGGCTTTAGGGTCAAGATCTGATGCATGCGTTATGACAACGCTGGAACAACTTAAGTGATGGCAATAAAGACACTCGCGCGATGCATGGGTGGCGGTTGGCCCCGGTCCAAGTTGGGACGTGCGCACGATAACGCCGGCGCCACCAAAACAAATGTTTAAAAAAATGCGAAAATATGTTGTCGGAGCTTCGGTTTTGTTTCCTGGTGGGCGCAAGACCTGAGAAACCCGCTTGCCACCTCCGACCCCTCCCCCCTCCCCCGAGAAGCGCTGGAAGCCCTCGGAATCTCTGGACAACACCTGAAAAACACCCTCCATCGGGCTCTCCCACCCGGCCCCAATCCGCCCCAAATCGGTCCCTGGATTTCTCCCGGGGTCCATCCTGACCTGTTCTTCGAGGCGGATCCAGCCATGGCGACGAGAAGCCTCCAGCAGGACCAGAAGAGACAAATAAAGCATGAAACTACACACAAAGAAAGCCCGCCGCGAGTTCGGATGACTTCCTGCTTTCCTCTCTGACGACAACGACCGCAGCTGGTGGCGGCTGCGACGGCTTCGGCGACGTCGGCGGCGACGTCCACGACGACAGCAGTCGCCGGCGACGGCGGACGGCGGCGGCTAGCCTCCATGCACGAGCTGTTGACGAGGGTGGGCTCGTCGTTCAGCTTCTCGTTCACCTCGATCACCTCGCAATCCACCGGCGCGTATGCCTCGCCCACCGCCTTGGGGGGAAGAGCGCATCCCCCTCCTCCTCCTCCTCCTCCGCCTCCTCCTCCTCCTCCTCCTCCCCCTCCTCCTCCTCCCCCTCCTCTTCCCACTCCTGCCAAGTTGCCAAGTCTTGCCCTCGAACCTCCAA